GTGTCCAAGTTGGGGGTAGCAACATAGATGGAATATTGGGTAGTGGTACTAGCAATAAGCCACAGATCCTGCCACCAACAAGTGCTCCAAACCTATAATTGAGAGATTAAACAATGCAGAAAATGAACAAACTAAAATCAGAAGGAAAGCATATGTTGGTGCAAGCTGTCTAATTCCCTTGTAACTTACCCTGTAATGGATGCTCTCGCCAAGCTCTTCATCTTTTCGTTAAGAAAATATTTGCAGGCGGCCAAAGAGATTGCTACCTGGTCCAAAGATCAAAACGTTCAAATGAATATGCAAGAATGAGAGAGAGCAGCAACGCATAGACGATTATCATATTATCATTTTCTACGTTTCTGGTAAATATACAACACATAGCATAAACCTTAGACCAAGTAGCCAGAAGAGGGGGATGAATATAATGACACATCTTACTGAAACACATGTAAAAGAGATAAAAAAAACAACAAACCTGAAACGCAAGTCCACTTTCAGCAGAATTCATTATACTCCAGCCCCCCATAAAGGCAAAAAGAAACAATCTTCTGAGGATAACATCGGTTGTTGGAAGTTCAGCATAGTTGAGCAAGTTCTGAACCCAAGGTGGTGACTCTTCCACTTTCTATTTCAGCCGGCTTTTTAAATTAATTTTTGTTTTCTTCCTTTGTCTGAAACTTGCCATTAGTATTTTTTCAAATGCTGCTTCTATTGATTCTTCACTTCTTTCATGCCCAGCATATTGTTGCAGCAGAAAATTTCTTGAACCCTAGTTCCTCCTCAGAAGCATCATAGCTTACCCCAAGGCGTCTGTAAGGATCCCAAACACTGAAACGAGGAAACTTTCGAACACTACCTACAAGGAAAAAATAAGTGTACCATCAACTGATCAGTAAGGAAGAATAGGAAGCACAGAATAAGTGTCCATTTGACAAAAGATATAGTTCAATTGACACTCAGGCTATCGATCAATGTCCAATCAATGACCAAAAGCTACCAAACAAGAAACATAATAAAGAAATTCATCGTTAATGGATCCATAGCTAATGGCCAAGCCTAAGTGTGGAAGTGTGGAATGTGTGAGGTTTTGGGGGGGGAGGGGGCTGCTGTGTATATTTGGCGCAGAGGAGTTTAGTGTAGGGTTAAGCAGATGGTGAATATCTGTGAGGGAGATAGGGGTGAGAACGGGTGTACAGGGCAGCCCTTAGTTCGGGGAATTACTTATCAGACCCTCAATAACCTGACTTTGGCCTAAGTGGGATGAAGAATCCTATTGAGTACCTTATAATACTCAATGTAGAACTTAGTATCCCATGTTACCAAGTATCCATCAAATACATGAAAGCCATAATAAGAAATGATGGTCGCATACTTGTATACTAAGACATCGGACATAACCAAAAAAGCCAACCTCATATAAGAGGAATTTCTGAAACAATCGGAACATTGGTATTAAAAGCTTTGGCCCACTGGTTCAGTAATCAAAGTATGGTTCTGGGCTTGACAATGTCAGTTAAGCACCATCCTACTTTGAGGTTATGAAATAATTGAGCTTGAATGGCCATTTAGTGAACATCGAGATAGAAGGTAATACCTCCTCCGTATGGCGCATCCACTGCGCATTTGATCCTCCATGAAACACTGCAATGTGCTGTCAGCTTCCTCGCATTTCCTTGGAGGGGCCTGAAGATGATTCAATCAAGGGAATCAAAAGAAGAAGAAACGACAGAACTTTATACAATGGAAAGAAAAATGAATGATGAATTAGGAGATCAACAAACATAACTAGCCTTAACCATATGGAAATTCAGAAGTTTTTTAAAACTTTAAAAAAATTCGAAAAAAGTAAATTAACTGTTGAAAATATTCAACAGGGATATCATGAATGAATAGTAAAGTACTCTTTCGGCTCTTAATATAGGACCTAATTGTTGAGTTGGTTTTGGTCTTAAACACAAGACCCATTTTTTATATTTATCTATTTTCTCTAAATTACCCCTAGGATACTCCCTCAACTATAATCAAGTAAAAGAGAAAGAAAGGTATTAAGAAAGATAATTATGGTATTTTAAGAAAAACGTATAATATTTTTTATAATAACTAACTTATCTAATTTCTTTGACCTAATCAAATTAATTAAATGGGTCTTGTATTAAGGACTGGAAGAGTAATATTACTAATATATCCTACTTTGATATAACATATTCATATTGATAATATCGATTTTTTTTCTTTGTTTATCAAGCTACCCACATAACAATTTGACGAATAGAAAAAACAATCTCATTCTGAATTAGCCAAGCATATACAGCATCAGAGAATCAAGAGAAGCAACAGAAACTTGCACAAGCAATAAGAATACACACAAGAAGAAGAGAGGGGGAGGGTACAATTTCTTGCCGAGCAAAGCGGTGGCGAAATTGGAAGTCGAGGGCGAAAGTGCGACCATATGTTATGCTGGTAGCGTAGCCTAAATGCCTAATACAGTAATAGGGAGGACACCATGGGAATTTCAAAGAAGGGTTCAGAAATGGAAAGGCCGAGGCTAAGTTCCCCCACGCCTTGCCGTTTTGGTCGGGTTTGGGTCGCTGGAGGAAAACTCAAAACTGAAAGAAGAGGAAAAACCTCGCGGATTACCTAAGGGATAACAAGTTTAGGGGGACCCCCCCCCCAAAAAAAAAAAAAAAAACTTACCACTGAGCAACAACGGGTAAAAATTAAAAGAAAAATAGTAAATAAAAACTTCTAATATGTGAAATTACTATTTGGAACATTTAATTTAGAAAATGACAAATAAAGATCTAATTCTATATAATAAATATGAAATCTTGATGAAATGTCTGAAATCACAACTCAGATATGCCAAATGACAAGTTGACTATGGAAAATGACAAATTTATTTTGACGAATGACAATTTCGGTAGACCAAATCACAACTTGGCTGAGGGAGATTTTAGACATTTCACCAAGATTTCATATTTGTAATATAGTACTGAGTCTTTATTTACTATTTTTCAAATTGAGGGTCTCAAATAACAATTTCCCATATTATGAGTCTTTATTTGTTATTTTTTCAAAATTAAAACAAGCCCGTATTTCCCAAAATATTAGTATCTTTTCTGGTCCCAAAAAATTAGTATCTTCTGTCTAAGGTGAAAAATGAATGGACTTGAGAATAGGGATACTTTATGGTAATTAGTCATAATTCAAGAAACCCAACATACAATGTCAAGTGATCTGGTATTATCATAGTACTAATTATATTAGTCCTATTTATAGTACAGAGGGAATAAATTTTTTTGTCCTCTTTATAAGGCAGAAGAGGAAAATTTTTATATAAATGTATAATTTTATTCTTTATTTATTATTGTGTTAACTTTGTTTTCATAGAGTATAATGTATATTAAGTAAAGATAAAGTTGAAAATTTGTTAAATTTTAAATAGAAGCTAATAAAGTTTAAGATTTTTCTTGTTTGCGTAAAATATGTTAAAAGTGACTTGTAAATAGGACCATGGGAGTAACTTTTTCAGACGTGACATTTAATATTCAACAATGCTTCATATAGGATTGCTTCTAATTAGGGGTGGAAACAGGTCAGGCTAAGCTTTGTCCTTAACAGGTCAGATTTGTTTAGTAACAAACTGGTTTGAGCCTGGCTTGTAGCCTGTTATAGGTTTTTTTTAAAGCTTGAGCCTGAGTTTGTTAAAAAAATCTGTAATTTTAAAAATTTTACAATGCATAATAAAAAATACACGGGCTAATTAATAAAAAAAATAAAATATATATACTACATAACAATTATTTATTATTATATTTTATTTAAATTTTAATTATGGTTAATATTATTGCAAATAAGTTATAAGTATATATTGAAATTTAAAATAAGACTGGATATAAGTACAAAATTAAAATTAAGATAAATAAACAGATTAGGTCAGGCCTGATAGACTTAAGAGACTTTTGAAAAAGCATAGACCTAACCTATTAGGCTAAAAAAGTCATCAAAAAGGATTGAGTCTTTTTTTATTTTGAAACAGGCCAGCCAGGTTAAGTCACAGGATGCCTGGCCGTTTTCACCCCTATCTCTAATAGAAGGACACCTATACATAGGGGAAAAAAATTAAGACATGATAAAAGAAAGATAAAATTAATAAATGTTGCTAAATATTTAGTAAGTCAGAGAAATCGAAGTACTGCTGCTCAATGTATGTCTCCCAGGAATATAGTAGTGTTAAATATTGAAGGTTGGAGTTTTGCTGCTCATTTTGCCAATAGAACTTTTGCAATTCACGCAACTATACTGGTAATGGTATTAACAAACTTCAGGTTTTTTTTTTTAAAATGAGCATATAATCAGGTAGTTTCGGCGGCAAAAAAAAAATAATAATAATAAGGAGGAGGAAGAAGGAAAAAGAACAGGTCTTCAGCCTGACACCTAAGCATTGTGATATGAATCATATGATACATAATAAAGTCAAGAGCATTTCAATGCATAGAACTCTCGGCACTTTTCTATCCTATCTGCTTTAATTTGATTCCCACTAAACCCGACACAAAAAATAATCTGTGAACTAGCCTCCTTCATACAGCGATTGAACATTTGGCTTCGAATATCACTATCCTTCATTTACATTACATCTTCGTCCCCCCGTGTTAAACATTAGCGCCTTATCATTATAATGCCCATTTTTCTCAGGCGGCCACGATGCAGCCATTACTACCACAACATAACAAACACTTTATAGTAATAATAAATGCATTAATGCTTCAAAATAATTTCCTTTAAAAATAAATTGCCATTAATTTAACTCATTTAATTTTGCTGGTAAAAAATCATTTAATTTTTATCTTAAATACACTGCGTTTTATTCACAATTTCTTGGTGCTAAATTCAGTTATTTTTTTGAAATTTGAATTATATATTTTTTTAAAAATTTTGAACTGTACTATAAAACAATAAATATAACATCTGGAAACCAATCAAATGACAGAAAAGGGAGGAATAATGTCGAAAGCTAAATGGCCAATGGTGTGAGATAATAATTGAATGAGTCATCAAGTCGGGACTCGGGAACAAGGAATCTCCCCATAGGATATTCTCGGCATCAACCAGTTACTTACTATTCATAGACTCGATTGTTTCCCCAATCTAAACTTGGACTTTGCTTTATTTACTCCAGATGACGACAGAAATTACCCGTCTTTTAGACTCTGTTTGGATGGAGAATTCACCTGAATATGTCTCAAAGAACGAACCAGTATTCGTAAACAGTATAAGTAAACCAATTTGCATTAGCAGAAGTTTATAAAATTTCTCTCTTATTATCTGATAAGTTGGGGAAAAAAAATCTAAATCTATAAGATTACTTACCAAAATATTATGAGTAGGCCAATGAGTTCTATGGACTCGTGACAAAATTGATCCAAACTGAGCCTTAGTCGGATTGGATATGATTAACTCATATAAGAATTTGATCCAGATTCCCGTAAACATCATTAGCAACTAGATTCTCCATCAAGTTGTACTCCATCCACTGTAGCCTCCTTTCTTAGTCGTCATGTTTAATATTGTTCAGTAGGCCTGGCCTACCCCCTGGAGTAAATCTTACTTTCCAAGGATACCTTTTCCTTTACAAGAAAGCAACAAGCAGGGACCTTCAAACCATCATTATGCCCAAGAAAATGATATACTAGAACCAGAGCAATTCACATTTCATCCCCAGATCATCTTCAGAAAACTCTACCATCAAAATAAGGAGCTCCAAATTTTAGAACTGAATGGAGACATCTTCTCTGTTTGAGTGCATAACATGCCAAGCCAATGTTTGGGGCAATTAATCATAGAATGAAAAGGTCGCCGCTTGAAACATATCTTACACAAAAAAGAGGTGGCACCAATGTGAACTATATTAAGCATGCCCGATCTGCAACTTCCAGCCAATAACACGTAATAAGCTAGGAGGTTGCAGTACCAAAGTCTCTATCAGAAAAAACCATAGTTCTTTTCAGCTTTTATATAGACGTAATTAATGCCTCGAACAAGGATTGATATTTTATATTTGAACGGGGAAAATGAAGGCGATAATTTCAAGAAGAAAAATACAATGGAGAAAATGGATAGTACCAAAGAGGATTATAAGAACACAATGAAGTATACATATAATTTAAAGTGGATGGTACCAAAGAAGATTATTTCTCACAACTTGAAAAAGACACCAGTTGAAAACAACTTATTTACTGGTAAGAGACTGTGGAATCTCGGCAATATTCCGATGGGCTATACCTATATAGCAGGAAAAGGACCCTCAAGATGATAAAAACTTGAAAAGCGATTGACCCATAAAACACATGACAAAAGAGTCAGCTGGGAGAATGCTCTTATCTTGTTGAGAGGCTTGAGAGTAGAAGAGTAAAAAAAATGAACACTGAAAGTAAAAGTAGAAATCCGTCTACGAATAATGCAATAGATGATGAACCACCCCACTTAATATAAGATCCAGTTTGCCAGCACAGAGCATCACAAACTGGATTGTCGGCAGCCGCAATATTATAGCCAATATCTTGGAAGGTCAGTTCATCCAACCTGATAGTTACATATCATACTCCTACAATGAAAACATCCATGTATGATATTATAATGCATGATCACATATGTAAGTTGGAACCCGAAACATCTAATTTTTTGAACGATAATCGATAGGATTATGCAAATTGATTCAAAATGATAGCAGCTGGCGAATCGATCATTAAGAGGCCATACAACACTATTACTGGAAATCAAGCAAGAAGGGTCCAAGAAAATATTAACAAAGAAACTCTCAACAAGAAACTACTGGTACTGCTCAAACGAGGATAAAAGCAACAAAACTAAGCTGCGTCATTCTAAATCTAAGACAAACACATATAGTCCCCGGGTTGGTGGGGAAAAAATTAAAAACTAGCTCTATAAATGATTCTAAATAACGAGGTAATTTTCTTTTAAACTAAAAAAACTCGTGCTCGTGTTTTCTCACAGTTTCTCGGCAACAAACAGATGACATCGAAAATAGTGAAAGAGACCAAGTAGGCATTGGATGCAGAGGTTTATCGATCGATTCATGCTTTGGTTCTCCCACACAAAAGATCAGGAAGAGATCGATGAACCGCTGCATCCAGTGTCTTCGCCCCAGCTCCATGTAGATTCACATAAAAAACACAATATCAACAAAATAAATTGAGGGGGAAAAAAAACTCTCGACCTCGTTGTTTTTCCCTCTGAAAGGAAAACCGACAAAATGCCAAGCACATAGAAAAAACAGCATGAACAAAGAGATTTCCAAGATCCAGCACGTTCTTACGAACAAAAGTAGTCGAACTCGATTATAAAAAAAAATCAAACATGGCGAACCGGTGAATTTTACAGCAGAGAGTCAGAGATCTCGCCTTACATAAACAGAATTATGTAACACGAGGATTCAAAGCTAGAACTAGCTATCACTTTTTCTCACGGAAAAAGGGTTGAGAACATGAGCATGAATCAGAAGACTAAAAGAGAATAGTCATCACCATTGCCGTTTCTTCGCTTGGCTCTTTTTTCTCTCTTTTCTCTTCTCTCTCTCCTCTCTCTTCGCCCCCTTGATGTGAGTCATTCCCAGACGCGCTGGGACTTCTACTTCTCAAGGAAAATGAATTCGGGATCTGGTTTTTTTTTATCTGGAAGTGAAGTTACCATCTAGCCCCTGCTCCCTAAACAGTCGAAGACAAATGATGCTTTTATTGCACGAATATCGAATTCATTTATCAGCACGTTTAATATGAATTGAGGTAAAAAAAAAATTTCATATATTTATCCTATATTTTATAAATGATAATTTTTTTTGTAAACAGGATATCTTTTTATTGGAGGTAGTCATGTTAAGATACTATTAAATACTATCTCCGGTCTTTAATATAAGATCCTGTTTAATTTTTATTTTGATCATAAATATAAGACTTCAATCCACTTTATCTCTCATATTTACTTAATTTTTTCAAGATAGTCCTTCTAATAATTATAATTTTAGTCAAATACACTTGATGAGTAAGGATATTTTAAAAAGACAACACCTATTTAGGATAAATAACTAACTCAACTTACTTCATTAATCTCCTCAAATTAGTCAACTGGCTCTTATAATTAAGATCGGAGGTAGTATTAAATATAGGCACATCTTCTAATAAGAATTCAAACCTTAATTTATTATACTACGAGAGACTAGTATTTTCTATTAGACTAACTTTCTGTTAGTTTTATAAATGAGAATTGAAAAACTGTTCATATAGCCTTTCAGATGAGCCCATGATCATTTTTTTGTCCACGAGGAAACTAATCAATTCAAAAATTCTTTGCAGAGAGTTCGCAGCCCCCACCCCTTCGGCATAAATAGAATCTTTCTTTTTCTTATTTTTATTATAAAATTTTATAAAATTAAAAAGATACTACTTTTAGTCCTTAATATAAGAGTTAGTTTGATTTTTAATTGATCTTAAATAATAATATCTCAATTCACCTTGTCTCTCATATTAATCTATTTTTTTCAAAAATAGCCCTTGTGATAGTTGCACATATTAGAGATTCCATCAAGTGGTAATTCTAACTAGTAACATGATTGGTAAGAGTGTTTTAGAGAATTCAGCTTGAATAAATAATTAACTTAACAAATATTTTTAATTTACTTAAATTAGTCAACTAGCTTTTATATGAAGGACTGGAGATACTACATGAGAAGAATAAAAATAATGAAAAATTTTATATTTTAAGAATTGTGATAAAAATTATTAAGAGTTAATATGCATCTATACCCCCACATATTTTTTTAAGTGCATTGAGCACTCTAAAATATTCTGTGGTGCATCCAATATTCCAATACCTCCGAAATATCTTTTAGATGCATCCAGCACCCTGAAATATTTTTTTTATGCACAAAAAATATTTTTAAATGTTGGACGTACCTAAAAAAATACTTTGAAGTATTAGATACACCTAAAAAAATATTTTAAGGCGCTAATAACACTATAAAATATTTAGAGTACTCGATGTACCTGAAAAAATATTTTGAAATGCTGAATGCATTTTAATCCAATTATCAATAACTCTAGATTCTTTTTTTATGACCAAAAGTATCCATTAGATCTGGATCTCACGAGCCCGAATTGTAAGTTAAATTATTCACAACCTCTATGAATAATGTAATATTTAATGATCCATGTATTAAGGTAGAGCAAATTGCATCAGTTAAATTTAAAACAGGGCAGCTCATTTTTGTAATTATGCAAGGATTAATTTTATTGATATAATGATATATCAAGTGAATGTTTAGTTTAACTTATTTTAAGTAGTTTTATGCTATAAAAAATAAAAATATGAGGGGAATTTTGTTTCGCCAGCACTTTACAGTAGCACAGTAACTTATTAATTGCTAAACTCATTAATGTTTCATTTGGGTGTTAATAGATGGCAGTGTATTAGGATGGAAAACGACTTCCTTACAATCATTTTGTTTCATGGGAAGGAGCGGCCATCTGATTTTATCCACTCAGTTTTATGAACTGGTTTGTGGCGAGATACGTGGAAGTAATTTCTTTCTTTCTTTGTTTTTAGGAGAAAACTTCGAATAAGGAAACTTGATCAGTTTTACTACATATATATATAGGAGTTTGATAGTACTCTTCCGGTCCTTAATATATGATTCAATTTGGAGTTAGTTTTGGTTCTAAATTAAAACTCATTTTTCATATTTATCAATT